TCTGTATATCTAGGTTAACACACCTTTGAAATGCCCCTTTCTGACCCCTCGTTCCAAAGCACGAGATCACATAACTATCCTGCAGTCCAACCCCTGCCTTGCTTTCCTCCCACCTCCAGGTAATTTCACTTGCATCCTTCCTTAATTTCTATGCATAAAAGAAACGGCAAAAACTGTTGTCATCCGGAGCATTTGAGAGCTTGCTCCCCAGCATGTCGTCAGTCTGGGCTCCAAAATAAACTAACAAAATTCTCTGCAGATCTGGATGTTTCTTACATCAACAGGAAGAATCAGAAACCTTTTCAGATGGGCTTCTTTCCCTTAATAAGAGACATCTATGCTTCCTCCATGTCCTTCGATGGCTTGATAGCTCATTTCTTTTCAGCACTGAATAATTTTCCATTCTCTAGATGTACCGCGATTTATTTATCCATTCACCTACGGAAAGACATCTTGGTTGCTTTCACGTTTTTTTGCCAGTTAGGAATAGAGCTGCTAGAAACATCTGTGTGCGGATTTGTTCTGTGGAACTAACTTTTCAACTCCTTTGGGTAAATACCAAGGAGCATGACTGCTGGGCTGAATGGTAAAAGTGTGTTTAGTTTTGTAATAAATCGCCAAACTGTCAGCTGTACTATTTAGCACTCCCCCCAGCAATGAACAAGAGTTCCTGTTGCTCTACACACTCTTCAGCATTTGGTGTCGTCCGTAGGTTTTGATCATTGTCATAGGTGTGTAGGAGTATGCTATTGTTGTTTCCACTTAAAAAAAATATTTTTTTAACCCTGGGCATTTCCACACAAGGACATTTGTAAAATTGTTAATGGTTTATTTTAAATGAGGTCTTTAAAGTCCTCTGAAAATGGATGTAAGCCAATAACAAAGATACCTTTTTTAAAATTGATTTGAGAGGAATGGAGAGGGAGAGAGAGATAGAAACATCAATGATGAGCGAGAATCATGGATCGGCAACCTCCTGCACGCCCCTACTGGGGATGGAGCCCACAACCCGGGTATGTGCTCTTGACTGGGAATCGAACCCAGGACCCTTCAGTCCGCAGGCTGACACTCTATCCACTGAGCCAAACCAGCTAGGGCAAAGATACTTATTTTTGAACTAGAATATTCATTTCTTCTACAATAACTTCATATTGAAACACTCTATTTTTTACAAGCACCCAAAAAAACCATATAAACATTTTTTTTCTTTAGCTATAGTAAAAAAAAAAAAACTTGTTGGTTGATAGCAAGTCTTAAGCAAAAGTATTACAGTCCACAAAATTAACTGGAGAGAATTTTAAAAGTAACGAGGGCTCAGGGTACATACCAAGATTTTATCCTCAATGGCACTTTTAGTTAAAATGACAATTACATGCACTTATTTTCCCTTCACTTTTACTTCTTCCATTATCTGCATGCTAGGGTAGAGAATGAAGCTACAATCTGGCACAGAGAGACAGGAGACACAGTGGCCCTTCCGCACTCACTACTTGCTGTAAAACCAAACTGACAAACAATGATGAAGCACCGAAATCAACTATAAACTATGCACCAAAATCAAAATCAACTATAGACACCACAGAGAGCTGCAATGTATCTCTATGGAACATGGAAAAGAGTCTTCAGAGCATGCACTATAGACACAAACATATTCACATTTTCACCCATCATCTTAGAAAGGTGAAAGACAATAAGAGATCCCTTCGGAAAAGAGAGAATACTGGTTTCAGAGAGGGAAACCTATCTCATTACCAAGCTTTTGTTTTCTAAGTCACAGAGATACCATAATGCCTGGGTACCTAGTCTCCGGCTGGAGTGGTCTCTATTACATGACTTGACAGCAAGAAAAAATATAAGATAGGTTATCTCTATGAAGCATCTCGCCTGATTAATGCTACCCAGGGAGACAGATTATGCAACTAAACAGCTGGCTAGAAGCAAAGCTAATGTGGCACACCCACCCTTTTCAGGTCCTGTTACCAAACGTCAGTTAATTAATAAGTGAGCATGCCATCTGAAAAATGACAAATCCAAGTGGTCATACCTACATATTTTACCTCAAAATTAGTCTGAAGATTTGGTTATTTCTTAGTCTTAGTCTTTACTCACGGGTATTATATGGTACAGTTAACTCTTAGAGCCTTAGCCTCCATCCATTTAAATTCACCATTTTGAGACCAATTTTATTTCTACTGAATAAGAATGTGTGGAAGCCATGGGTAAGCACATCATATATCCCAATGAGATTATGATGGCTCAGTCTGAAGCAGACAGTATATTAAGTAAACTACTAGTTATAGGTTTTCCTCTTATGTCCTTCATAAACTTGAGCTACAGATTTGCTTGTGAATCCATCTGCACAACTGAGTATTTCCCCTACTTCGCTGTCCTCCAGAATCAGCTTTGAAAAGATGGAATTAAAGATCTTTTAGCTCCAGTATTGTGTTCACATCATTGTAAGTAATAATTCCCTTCGTTAAGGACCCACATCATTCCTCCAATACAGAGACAAGAAATAGATGTGGTGTGTGTGTGTGTGTGTGTGTGTTTCTTCAGAACAATAACAAAAATCAGAAGACTATCACATCTTTCAAGATCTCTTTCATTCACCCAGCCTACTCTTGAACTTAAAAGAATTATCAAAAGAAAGCTACCATGGAGCCCTTGATTACTTATAGATATCGAGTAAAAGATTGGACCTAATGGAAGCCAGATGATACATAACTGATATGTTTCATCAACATCTAGTCCAGGCCCTCATCTTTTCTTGCCTGGATCACTCAAGTAGTCTCCTTCCAGATTCATCACCAACTCATCACCCACAAATATCACTTTTCTAAATCACAGAAGTGATCGTATCACATGCCAGCTGAAAATTCTGCAACCACTTCTCACTGGAGCCTACAGAATGATTCCAGCTACTCCACCCTCACCCTCAGGACCTGGTCCCATGGTGCCACTTCAGTGCCCTGAGCTCCCCCATCTTTATTCCCTGTGACTCTGCCCAGCAGGCGCTTCCTCCCTTTTTTCCCCTTTAACCCTCACCACAGGGGGGAACCTCCACACTACCAGGGCCCAAATCAATTGACATTTCTGGGAACTGGACTCGCTGGCACCACACTGCCCCCAAGTCCACTCAGTACTCCTGACTCCCTGTCCACACTGCTCCTGCTGTCTCGGGGCTGCTACTTTTACTGCAAAACTGTCTTTCTGGAAGCCGGGGGCACATGCTGCTAGTACTTAGCTCAATAGCTCAAGGAAAAAGATGGACAGTCAATGTCTTAATAAACATGTGATAGAATGAACTCTAAAACTGCTACTAGGAATTAACTTCCAGGAAATAACACATGATTCCACTCCCATCTGCTGTTTCCTAAGTGTGTGACTTAGGACAGGGGTGTTTACCTCTCCACTGTAAAACGGGAACAACAATGCCCACTGGTCACAATGAGAGGATCAAGAATGGGAAGGGCCCAGCAAGACACAGGGATGGGATGCAGTACCATGAGCACCACGTCCGCCCCCTCCACCTCTGCCACCTCCTCCATTTCTCCCCCTCCTCCCCCTCCATCTCCTCCACCTCCTCCATTTCTCCACCTCCTCCACCTCCTCCATTTCTCCACCTCCTCCATTTCTTCACCTCCTCCCCCTCCACCTCCTTTATTTCTCCACCACCTCCCCCTCCCCAAGTAGCCGCCTTCCATCAGGAGAAGTTGAAGTAAACAATGAAAACCAGGATGTCAGTAATAATAATTCAGGTTGAAGAGGGAAGAGTTTCAAGGTAAAAAATGACAAATGAGGGCAGAATGGGGCACATGGAAGGTCACCCCAGTGCAGGGGTCTCTTTTGACAGCAAGATATTTAGACGGGCAAGAATTATGAAAGGCGGACTGGTGTGGTCCCTGCTGGGCTCCTGACTCTGCTCCCTGGAGCCCTTGCACTCCTCCGCCCTAAAAGAGTGGGAGGCTCACTTCCAAGTTCTCTTCAGTCCCTCCCATACATCACCCTGCAACTTCCCCACTTACAAAAAGCCAGAAACCTTTGGGTTGGCTAACAGGAACATAAAATTAAGATGAAGTCAGAATATTTGAGACTGGGGTTGACTCTCCAATTCCAAGACCTAATATTAATTAAGTCATCAGCTGACCAGGTTTAGAGTAATACACCACCCAAGGAATATGTAAATTGCTGCTTTCAAAGGAGTTTGCATTTTAAAAGCTCCCTTAGGGATCTCACTAACATCTCCCCTCCCCCACACTTTCCCTAAAACTACAAAGCAAAGGAGGGTCTCTTTTTTTAAAGAAAACAACAGCAAATCAGGATAAACCTAACATTTATAGACTGAAGCCTATTACATACTTTTCTGCAGATTGCAAAGGATTCAGAGGAGGGAAGAGGCCCAGAGTACCTCTGTACAAAGGATATTCTCTAAGAAAGGCTAGGAAATGGGTGTAAACTGTAGGAACAGAGCAGGGAACAGAGGAAGTATAAGGCTGGGGGAGGTACCTCTAGCAGGATCTTGAAAACAATAGTCACTTACAAATGCTCTTCCCCACCATGCCCAGCTAACAAGTAGCTTTAAAGGCCGGGCTCAGCTTTAAGAGGCCCTCGAATTCTAGAGGAAAAACTGAGAACCAGAACTTACCCAATGAATAATCAGCAGTCAAAAACTGATCTACCATCTCTAACCACATCTCATTACCTTAGCAATTCCCACTCTCAAAAACATCTTATCCTCAGGGCCTCCCCACAAAAAAGGAATGTTGAGTCTGCAACACACGGTAAAGATGATAGAGAGTAAACCCCTACAGGATTCTAACTCATTCTGCACTTCTCAGCAGAAGTCTAAGCATGTCATGGTGGAAGGTGACATGCTTTGGAAACCCAGGCAGACCACATGTTGCCGAGTTAGAGAACAGAAGAGCACACTTCACAATTGGCCATTCCTGGTCCCAGTAAACACCCGGATTTTAGTTCGCATGATGAAGCTGACCAAGAGGTAGCTTTGGCACGAGCACCATTTATTAATGTCTATAATGTCTACCCCTTACAGCAGGTACATGAGCCTTTACAGCACTGAATTTTGATGTGGCTTCTGCACATCAAAGGAAGCACATCCTTTTTCTCTTTTTTTTATTCAATAAAACCATGTTCTCAGCACCCGATCAGTCCCAGGCTCTGGAGTTAGAAAAATGAGTAAAATACTGACCCTTCCCTCCAGGCATTCCCTATTGGTAGTGTTTTGCTAAACTCATTTTCTCCTATCTATTTACATTTTCACTTATTAGCATTTATTCGTTCAAGCAGGGCTCACACAATTTCATGCTATAAACTATACCATTATTCCTTCTCTAAATAAGCATTTTGTTAACAATTATCTAAAAGCAACTACCTGTTGAAGAACTGTGCTGGACTAGATTAATTTAAATGCAAAATGTGTCCTGATAAACCCAACTACCGTATTTACTGAGTGAGATCTAAGTCTCTGGGGCAACACCCTTCCCAGGATTCACACCAACAAAATCCTCAGGGGCAGAAACTGCTCATTCACCTAAAAAAAGTTTTAACCTCACAGGCCTTGAGGTTTGATTTTTACACCTTAGACCAGTGATGGCAAACCTTTTGGGCTCGGCGTGTCAGCATTTTGAAAAACCCCAACTTAACTCTGATGCCGTGTCACATATAGAAATTTTTTGATATTTGCAACCATAGTAAAACAAAGACTTATATTTTTGATATTTATTTTATATATTTAAATGCCATTTAACAAAGAAAAATCAACCAAAAAAAAAATGAGTTCGCGTGTCACCTCTGACACGCGTGTCATAGGTTCGCCATCACTGCCTTAGACGAACCTAAATGAATAAAGTAGCAATCGGGCCTGAAACCTTGTTAGAATGTTTGGATGTGTATTTCCCCCACTAGCTCTACTTCCCTCCTCAAGTTCAGTATTGAAAAGCAATCTTTCAAATAGCATTTTCCTAAAATACTCGATGTCATTATGTTTCTACCAAGTCGATCTGGGATGGTTCGCTTTGGAGAATCGTGGCATCAGGCTCCTGATGGTGGGGGTCAGAGACCTGGGGTGCAGTCTGACATTGTCAGCTAATAAGGTATGCATGCCATTGGTCAAGTCACTTCACCTGACTAGGCCGAGAGATTGCAAAATCCCTTATTTTAAATACAAAAATGAAGGAAGTTGTGTCTTTTTAAAAAAAAAAAATCTTAGTAAGAACAGAGAAAGGCAACTATTAGTGTCTTGATACAGTCCCCCAAAGATGCAGTTTTCTATAAACACTTGGATGACAGCTTTCTCGTGGAAAAGAGTTCCTTCCTTTAAACCTCGTGACTTTCTCCAGGCACGTAAAAAGGAGAGGTAACCCATGTCTTCCGGATTTTAGTAAGGGGCAATTCTGATGTTCAAGGTTACACCAAAGGGAAATAATACTGTATAAAGAAATGGACAAATATGAGCATAACCTATTCGAGATGATCTTTACGCTCTTTTCCAGCCTTACACTGAACTAGTTCTGTAAAAAGTACATATTTTCTCTTCTCCTGCATCTGCCCTTTGAGTAGCAGCTCTGAGCTTCTCAAGCCCCACCCACCTCTTAACTCCACCAGAGAACACTCTGCTGCAATTGACCCAACAGCCCTGGAATCTGCCAAGGAAAGGAGAATAAATTTTCCGACAGTGCCACCTGCCAACCCTCCCCTCCAAACAACCCTGAGCCCCCCTTACATTTAAGTGAGCCCCTCCAACTCTCCCCTCCCCAGCCTATGCCCTAGTAAGGACACCAGTGATGTTATCAAACCCATTTTCTCAGTGACTGATAATTTAGTGAGATCTACGCAAGAAATAAGATAAGCTTTCTGCTCGTTGGCAACTTTAAAAAACAATCTGCCACCATAACTTTCAAATGTTCATTGGGTTTTCTGGGATTTCATTGAAGGACTATATTCACTAGCAATGTTCAGAAAATGCAAAGACAGGCGGTTTTATATTTTAAAACATATACATTGTTTACAAAATATCAGAGAGTGAGAGCAGACAGAAATCTTTGACAAACCCTCTCTGATTTTCTGTACAGTGACAATCCTAACACCAATGGACCCCTGAAAATGGAATAACCAGAACCTCGAGGCAAAAAAATGAAACACGGGGTGGGGGGGGGGCGGAGTGAGAGAGCTATCATTTATTGAGCAACTACTATATGCCGGGCAATACCCTGAGTACTACATATACCTCAAGTTAGCTAAATCTCAAAAAAACTAAGAAGAAAGGCTCCTTTGCCTCACTTTGCAGGTGACAAAATTGAAGATCAGAGGCACTGAATACCTTGGTCATATAATCAGTCGATGGGAGAGGTGAGATTTGACGGAGGCTAAAACTCACTCTAAAGCCTAAGAGCTTAATTACTATGCTAAAAAGGATACATGCTTCATCATCCCGAAAGGGGAGTTTCTCTCTCAAAACTATACCTTTCACTTGAAAAATTAAAGATCCCAGAGTAAATTCACAGCCTTTTCTGATGATCTACACAACTGCCAATTCCAAACCTTTTAAGCAAAAATTGACTTTTAACGTGTATATTAAGGTGTCTGACTCTCAAAATCCCCACCCAGGTAATGCGTCTACCTGCCTACCAACAGCTCCATCAAAGTAAATCTAATACCCCCAGGCATGAACCCTCCTCGAGTAAAGCTCCCTTCTCCACGCAGAAGAACTATTTTTCAGAAATTATGCCAAGTCCAAGGGTGGTTTGAAAACATTACTGGACATTTCAAAATACATGACAAGACATTTAGCAAAACAAGTCCCATTGTTTTTAGCCCCAAACATGTAACAACAAATACCCTGTAATTCTACAAGTTGAAAAACTGCAAACACACTAAGTGAAGTTGGTGGTGGTGCTGAGTAAGGCTACGGTTGCTCTTCTCTCCTGGCCAGACAACAAATGGTGAAGAGATAAACATCAGTTAACCTCAGCCTCTTCCCAGCTCCAACTGTGACAGTACAGCAGCCAAATACTAATTATTTACATTTACTCTTTGAAGGACTCTTTCCAGCTTTTTCCACCCCAGCTTCCCAGCAGGTGTCCCAGATTAGACTGTGGACTACCCCCCGATTGTTTAAGAAATATCTTTGATGTGATCTGTGGCTGGTTATTTTTTAATTAGGGTTTGAAATCCTATACCGTGTGCATTTAACCCCCTCAGAACTGGAGCCTGAGAAGGACAACTCCCAGGTGCGGGCTGGCCAGGTCAGCGCGCGCACAGGGAACCTCGGGTCGCCCAGGGGCTGCCCGACGCCACCGGCCCGCGACCGTCCCTTCCCGCGCCTCCCCGGCTCCAGGGGACTCACCAGGATGCCCATCACGTCGGTCCAGAGCCGGGAGAACGTCTTGGACATGCCGGCCCCCGTCTCGGACTCCGACTCGGACTCTGCCTCTGGCCCCGGGCCGGCTGCTCCCGCATCCTCCATGGCCGCGTCCCGCACGCTGGCCCAGCGGTCCGCTCCCTGGGGCACACGCGCCCCTCTGCAGATCGCGGCCGGCCCCCGGCGCCGGGTCCCCGCCCGCGGCGTCACCGAGGCGCGCACCCGCGCCGCATCCCCCTGCGATCCAGCGGGGGCCCCTCGCGGGAGCCCGCACCTCGGCTCGAGGTGGCGGCGGGCTGCGCAACTGACAAGTCCACAAACTTTCCCACCCCGGCCGCGCGCGGCCACGGGGCAGCAGGAGGCAAAGTTCGCACCACTGAGCTCTCCGGCGGGGAATCGGGGCAGCCCAGGAGCAGTTACACCCGCCGCCAAGGCGTTTCTTCCTGTGACGAGGCCCGACGCACTACGGCACGCGACTCACTCCGGCCAGCAAGTCCGGGCAGGCTCCCGCCCGGGTGATCGCGGTGCCCCTGGGGCTCGGAAGGAGCTCCCGGGACCCCTCTCTTCAGAATGAGCTCTTCCAGCTCCACATGACTCTCTCCCCTCCCCGCGACAGAGAGCGTTTAGCAACAAAAGGTGCTCTGATGTCGGGCTCTTTGCATGGAAATGAGCCACGGCCAGGAGAACAAATCGCCTGTTGAAAGAGCAGCCGCGCCGCAGCCTCCCGCCCGCACCGCTTTCCAATCCCGCCTCCGAGTCGCTGAAACACTTTGGACACCGCAAGTCCAAAGTCCATCCTTCGGCTACCGGCGCGGAGAGCGCGCACAAGTCGTCAGTTACAGTCCGCACCTCGCCCTTCGGGAAGTCGAGCGACCTTGGGAATCCCAACTCGGCCTCTGTCGGCCGAGACTGGGTTGAAAGACGAGTGTGAAAGCGTGGGCACGAGCCATTGTTTGTGTCGTTTTCATTGGGAGCGGGGACATTTTGGTCCCGGGGTGCCCGCAGTGCCGTGCGCTGCTAGGGGTTTCCGCTAATGAGGGGAATTGCCTTTGGGTTTTAATGGTTCCTTTGCAGCAAGGGCAGAGGGAAGGGCCATTTTCAAAACGAAATGTGATGGCTGTAGACATCTAGCCAGTCCACACTGGGGGCCCTGTGTGTGCTTTTCCAAGGACAAGATTCGTGGCAGATTTATTTTATGAGGGAAATAGCCCTGTAGAGGTATTTCCCCTTTTGTGAGTCTTTCTTTAAAAAACACTCAGAGAGCCTGGGCGGTGTAGCTCGGTGGTTGCGCATCAACCCATGAGCCAGGAAGTCATGGTTTGATTCCCGGTCAGGGCACATTCCTGGGTTGCTGGCTCCATCCCCAGTAGGGGGCATGCAGGAGGCATCCGATTGATGTTGTTTCTCTCTCATTGAAGTTTATATCTCTCTGTTCCTCTCCCTCTCTTTCTAAAAAAAAAAAAAAAAATTAAAAATCAAAAAAAACATTTTTTAAAAAAGAAACAGTACATTATAAGAAAAAGAAAAAAACTTCAGAGAATTTTCCCTGGGATATGACAGTACATGTCACCTTTGATTTGGTGATTGATCACTTTGTGAAACAGTCAAGAAATCACCTTTGATTTGGTGATTGATCACTTTGTGAAACAGTCAAGAAATCACTAGGAACCTGCCCATTGGTGAAAGGAGTGAGTGGTACAAAAAAACAGGTGAGGTGCCCCAGGCAGAGGAGCCCTTGCTGGTTTTAGAGGCCTCTGTTGGTGTTGCTCTTTTCTTCTGAGCCCACAAAAAAAAAGGAAGGGGAAAAGAATGTGTCCTTGAAATCCCCTTACTAAAGCATTAATTACTGGGATATCAATGCAAATGGCTGAATAGCACTTACAGAAAAGTCTAAATAATTCAATGTAAGAACATAATCCTCCATGACAATATATTTTGAAAGGAAAGAAAAGGAATGAGAAAGTTTTCCCTTGAAAATAAGGTAGTATTGTGTCGAAGTAGAAAGAGCAAAGGAAGCTGAATCAACATGACCAGGCCTAGTATTTCTTGTGCTGATGTCAGAGATGCTCGGAATCCAAATAAATTCAGTTGAAGCAGTGGTTGGCTTATAATAAATTATTATTATTATATCTATAAAGACATGAAAGTACGTAAATGATGGGAACTGGTAAAATACCCTTTTAGAGTTGATTTTACTGGTATATTTAAGAATTTCATTGTACAATATTAGCCATTTGGTACTTTATTAAATTCAAGAAAATACAAAGAACTCTGCTGCTTCTGCCAGCAGGCAGCTTATTCTCTGCATAAATACTTTCCGGCAAGTGACTGAGCACAGACTCAAGAAAATGGAGGAGTGGGGGGTGGATTAGGGCTCCAGTAACAGCCTTTCCCTTAACTCATCAGATGACCCAGAGGCAAAGCACTTAACCTTTGGGGGGTAGGGATGTTTGCAGTTTCCCAATCCTAGAAGAGACAAGACCACACTCATTGCCACCTACCTCCTCAGAGGTGATATTATATTTCAGGGTCACCTTTTAGCAACAACACATACACACATATCGGCATAATTCAACCTACAGAAATCCATCCACCCTAGATAATCAGGATCCTTTACCCAGTGCTCCCTAATAAATAGATACAAAATGAGATAAGTAATGTTTGGGGAGGGGGTGGGAGAGAATGTTGATAACAATAATTTTTTTCTTTTATTAGCATTTACTTTATTCTGAATTTGATCCCAGGGCATAAGTTTTTGTTTCTTCTGGAATATCTTTTTCTTCTGTGCAGCCTCCTCTTCTAGTTTAGGAACAATCTGCTGTTTTTCACTAAGGAACATCTCCATGTGGCAGAGAGAGCTCATGTCCATGAGTTCTGTAAGCTCTGTGTCACATCTGGGGAGCTTTGTTCACCTGGATGTGCTCAATGACCAGCGGATCTACATCTAAACCCTTACGGTCAGCATTACTCTCTTCATTTTTAAGCATGTGAAGCAAAAATTCTGCATTCTTTTGGGCCATTGACTCGGCATCGGGCCCCACTGTTTGGCCTGGGCACACCTACCAACGCCACCATTGTAATAATGGAAAGGCACACACTGCTTCTGTAGAGTGACATCCTTCAGACACTTGGTGGCTTTTCTGATATGCATGCCCTTGCTGGCCTGGGCAGTTTCATGAGTGTTCTTAAAGTGAACATGAAGATTTGAACCTCTTGATTTGCATGATTTTGTGGGGTTTTCTGGGTAAAGTGAATAGTAAACTTTTCAGAGGTCACCTCTGGCCACTTTTGGGAAGAGCTTGATAACAATAATTTTGTTTTCTGTACAGGAACATGAAATTTCGAGTAGTCACTTTTTTTACTTCTTGAACATGAATAGTTTGGCTGACCATTTAAAAAATGAAGCTGAACCTCTTTACTCATCAACTTCATGATATAACGACCCCTCAAAATGAGTCTGATTATTCTCCCAAATTTTAGTCTTTTTTCTTTAGTTAATGCCCATCTGTATTTCCAACAATTCCTTTGGGACTTTTTAACAAAGTATGAAAGACTAATCATCAACATCACAATCATCATCATACTATTCCAGAGTCCCAGTGGGTATCATTTACAAAAAGCTTTTAGCATAGGGTGGGAAAGGGTCCATGAGGTGATCTTGGTCAAATCCCTTATTTTTCAGATGAAGAAATGGTCTCCAGAGGACTTGAATGATCAGTCTAAGTGAGCACAGCTACACGGAGCAAAATCAAAGGCAGACATCCTGATTACTTTTAAAAGTGCTTTCATTTAGATTGCAATGTATTTGATTCTCACAAAGCTCAGGAAGGTAGGCAAGTTTGGATGCTCCATTAAAGATGTGTGTACAGAAAATATACAAAAACCCTGCTCTCCTTTTTTCCCTTTCCATGGGACTCTGTCGCATCCAGCTCATTGGCATTGTTATGATGTTGGTGGAGGAATTCCAAAGGATCCTCTTCTAGAAAATCCTCTTTTAGAAAGGGATCTAGAATAAGGAATTTCCTTGTTTATACCTAAATGTCTTGAGTTACACAAAGGAGTAATTCCTAGCTCTGGAATGTGGTTGTTGAGTAATGAATTTAGGAGGTTATCTCTAGTAGGGTGGGATCATTAGAACTATTCAGTATTAATAGTAAAGATAATAATAACAGTAATATCAGTATCTGTCATTTACTAAAGATCTATGCTATGACACTGTTTGACATTTTAAAATTATTTTATTTAAACTTTAAATAGATTATATGACTTTTCACTACAATCCAACCCTCCCACCCTGCTGACTTCCCATTTCAGTAGTACTCAGTGGCATCCATGTATTTGTTCAAGCTACCAACTTCAGAGACATGCTTGGTTCCTTTTCCTCCCACACCATCACTCTCACCGAAACCAAGAATAAGCCCTGTTGATTCTACTTTCTAAATATAGGGTATCCCCCAAAAATGTATACCTACTCTTTGAATAATTATAAAGGCAGTGTTTATTAAAATACATTTCATTTTCAAAATTGAGCTATTAGCTGTTAGTGTTTATACATTTTGAGGGACACCCTGTGTATGTTAACTGCAGCTACTTTTCTCCATCTCCACTGCCACTGCCTTAGTCCATACTACCAACATCTTTTACAATTTTTATCTAGATCAGTGCTTCTCAAGTGTGGGCTCAAGGACAGAAGCATCAGTATCACTTAGGAACTTGTTAAAAATGGAAATTTCCACCACCAGCCCCAAAAGTCTACTGAGTTAGATACTCTGGGGTGGAAGGAGTGATTTGCACGTTAACAACCTCCTCAGGTAACCGTGATATCTGCTCAAGTTTGAGAGCTACTTGGAACTATGAGAATGTCAAAATTAGAAAAATAATGAACACATTGTTGAAGAAATGTTGTTTTACAATATAACATATTGAAAAACTATACCAGTAGATTGCTTTAAAAGTTAATTAATAAAAGA